CAGCTCTCACAAGTTGGTACCAACAGGCTCCAGCACATCACTCGCTGTAATAAAGTGTTATATGTAATTTCTGGGAAATGTCCTTAAAGAAGGAGGCAAGTCTTAATGGCTGGGGGCATGCCCTTCCCCCTTCATCCTTCCTGCTGGCCAGAATGTACATATGACTGGTGAAGTCCAGCCATCAGATTGGACCATAAGGAAGAATAACAGAGTCACAATAGAGAAGCCTTGGTCTCTGATGATTAACAGCTGCTAACAGCTGCTAATTACATGACAATTGTAAGAAAGAGGAAAAGTTGTATCTTGCGAATGCAACCGATATTTGGAGTTTTCCCATTCACAGTAAAATCTATCCCAACCAAGGGCATCATGTGTGCTAAATAAGTAAAGGATTCAGATTTGAAACAACAAAAAAATGTCTGAACCTTTGTGGGAGGGACAAAGAGAACAGCCAAAGGGGGAAGGGACTTGAAAATGAGGTTCTCACCTCTCTCCACCTGAGCCCCTCCTCTAGGACCTACAGACCCCTACAGAGAATGAGCAAGCCTCAGCCAGAAAGGCTTCCTCCTGGTACATGAGGGCCACAGCTCCCGGATCCACAGTGAGGGTTCAGGGAGGACTCCCCGACTAAGGGAGGTCCAGATCCTCTGCCAGAGAAGGACAGACTGTTCTCACACCTCTTTCTCCGACAGCATTTCCCCAGGCAGAGAGGAGAAATGGGAAATGTATAAGGTTATTTGGGGGGTAGACTGAGTTGACTCTGAGGCAGCGATAGGCAGGTTAGTGTATTCTGCCTTTCTGGGGTTTACTTAAAATATATTTATTGCTCAGGCATGGGCTGGCCTGTTATGATCTTTGGATTGTACCGTGGGTTTCAGACAAATGTAGAATGACTTACTTAAAATGTAGGCAAAATGTATTATTACACGTGAACTCCTCCTAAAAGTTAATACCTAAATGAAGATAATATTGTCACAAGTATGTTCTTATCCACTTTCAAAA